AATTTCACAGAAATCTGTGAAATAATCTTAGTGTGTACGTTTTTCTTAAGAGCAATTCCACAGTCCGCATCGTGCTCTCTTGCCATGCGGATCTATTTGCTTTTTGCTTAAGGAAGTGTTACTACTACCTAAAGCTACAACAAATTTAAACAGCACTTTTCAGTGCTCAACCTGTAAACATTTTCTACCTTGTTCAACTCCTCTTATTCCTCTTCGATCCTTGTTTGGACCCTACCCGAGGTAATCCTTCTTGGATATCGATTTGGAAAATTCCTCTTCGATCCTTCAGATTCTTATAGTAATCTGCTTGGAAGTCGATTTGGATAAAAAATTTACTGCCGCCATGGCGCCTTAACGCAAAAGAAAGGGGCAAACTCTTGACCCCCCCTCTGAAGAAATTAATTTGAGTAATCAATTTGATTTGCTCACGGATGATGAGAATGATCCATCATCCAGGAAAAATTCTAGTAAACTTTCCCGGCTTAATGCCAAGAAGGAAAAGATTCCCCCTATTGTGATAACCACTACCGATTTCCATGCTCTTCGCATGGAACTTTTGAATTTCGTGAAAGTTAAGTTTTCACTACAAATTGGACGTCGGGGTGAATGCCGTGTATTGGCTGAAACCTTGGACGGATTTAAATGTCTTCTAAAGTATCTTACTGAGAAGAAGCACAAATTTTTTACTTACGACACCAAAACTGAACGTGTGTTCAAGGTTGTCATGAAAGGACTGCTCAGTGGTGAATCCCTGGATCAGATCAAAGATGAACTGGCAAAATTACTTGGAGTTGTGCCACTCCAAGTAATCAAAATGAAAATGAAATCCCGTCCTGGCGATTCGCGCAACGGGATTTCTAATGATTTTTATTTAGTTCACTTCAAGTCTAGTGAACTAAACAATCTTAAGGCCTTAAAAAAAGCTAGCCTTATGCTCCATGTCCGAGTGAAGTGGGAACACTTCAGGAAGACTGGAGGAAATTTCCAAAACCTCACCCAGTGCCGTAAGTGCCAGGGATGGGGTCACGGAACTAAAAATTGCTACATGCCAGCTAAATGCATGAATTGTGGTGATTCCTCTCACGCAAAGGACGACTGTCCTGTGAAGGAAGATCCTTGGAAATTCAAATGTTCAAATTGTGGTGAAAACCACAAATCCAATTTTTGGGAATGTAAGACTCGCAAAGCGATTCTACAATCTCGTTCTAACCGACAGGTAGGAAAAGCTACACGTTTCCGACCAGGTACAAATTCCTCTGCTGTTAACAACGGTCAGCGACTAACAAATTCTACATTCGTACCCGTAGGTACAAATATCACCCCTGCTTCAAATGTTTCATCTGTACCTACTCCCCTCGCTGCTAACAATGTTCAGCGAGTTAATGGAGCTACCTATGCTGCTATTGCAGCGGGTAGCAATCAAAATACTAACCAACGTTCTAACGGAAATTTTGACAATTTTGACTTAGAAAGAATTACTGCCCCTAAAATGGAATTTTTACAGAATTCATTAATTGACATGATTTCTGATATGCTTAAATCTAACTCCATGTTTGATGCTATTCAAACTGGAGTAAAATTTGCTAATAATATTGTCATGACTTTAAAATTCAGTAATGGATTTTAAAGCATTAAACATTTTAAATTGGAATGCTCGATCTCTTAAAGATAATGAAGACGAGCTATTTAATTTTTTGAGAGTTCATAACGTGCATATTGCCGTTATAACTGAAACATTCCTTAAACCTGACCATAAGGTTAAGAAGGACGCAAATTACTTGATTTATAGAAATGATCGTCTTGATGGACCCTGTGGTGGCGTTGCCATCATTATTCATAGACGAATCAAGCATAAAATTCTTTCTTCATTTGAAACCAAAGTTTTTGAAACTTTGGGAGTTTCTGTTGAAACAAAATTTGGACAACTTACGTTTATAGCTGCCTATTTGCCATTCCAATGCGTAGGCCAGCAAAAGAATTTTCTCAAGGGTGACCTCCAGAAACTTACCCGTCATAGCTCTAAATTCTTCATTATTGGTGATTTTAATGCAAAACACCGCTCATGGAATAATGCTCAAAGCAATTCCAATGGTAATATTCTGTTTGATGATTGTTCTGCAGGTTATTACACTATTCAATATCCAAACAGCCCAACATGCTTTTCTTCTGCAAGAAATCCCTCAACTATTGATTTGGCCTTAACTGATTCATGTCATCTTTGTAGCCAATTGGTTACCCATGCTGACTTCGGTTCTGATCACCTTCCAGTAACTTTTGAAATATCCCAAGAAATAATTTCTAATCCCAACAGCTTTACTTTCAATTACCATAGGGCTGATTGGGAGCAATATCGAACATTTATGGAATATAACTTCGATCCAAACATTCCTTTGCAAACCAAAGATGAAATTAATTATGCTCTTGAATCTCTGACTACTTCTATAGTTGAAGCAAGAGCTGCCTCAGTACCAAAATGCGAGGTTAAATTCGATTCAATTATAATAGACGATGATCTTCAGCTCTTGATCCGTCTTAAAAATGTCCGTAGGAGACAATTTCAAAGAACACGCGATCCTGCCATGAAAGTTATCTGGCGGGATTTGCAAAAACAAATTAAAAAGCGATTCTCTGCCCTGAGGAACAAAACTTTTGAAAATAATGTTTCTAAATTAGACCCGAGTTCCAAACCCTTTTGGAAACTCACAAAAAATTTGAAAAAACCTCAAAAGCCAATTCCAGCGCTTAAAGAAGGTGGTAAAATTTTGATCACAAATTTGGAAAAAGCTCAGAAACTTGCTAAGCAATTCGAGAGTTCCCATAATTTCAGTTTGGGTCTTACTAGTCCTATTGAGAATCAGGTTGCTCGGGATTATCTGAATATTTTCTCTCGGAAAAATATTTTTGATGATTCCTCGGGGACTGATTTGGACGAAGTAAGGTCTATAACTAAAAAGTTTCAAAATATGAAAGCTCCAGGTGATGATGGAATTTTCTATATCCTCATCAAAAAACTCCCAGAGAGCACCTTGTCTTTCTTGGTAAAATTATTTAACAGATGTTTCCATTTGGCATATTTTCCTGATAAATGGAAAAATGCAAAAGTTGTTTGAAGCCGGATAAAAATCCAGCTGAAGCTTCTAGCTACCTTCCAATAAGTTTGCTTTCTTCAATAAGTAAACTTTTTGAATAGAATGATGCTTCACATCAATACGAACTCAATTTTTGCAGATGAGCAGTTTGGATTTCGCCATGGGCATTCAACTACTCATCAACTCTTGAGAGTTACCAATTTAATTCGTTCAAACAAATCTGAAGGCCACTCAACTGGAGTTGCTCTTCTAGACATAGAAAAAGCATTCGACGACACACAAGCCTAGAGCTTCGTTTTTGAAACCTAGTAGTAGTCACATAGTCACTATGAACGGAGTTCCAATTTCCTGGTCAAACCAAGTGAAATATCTTGGATTAATACTTGACCATAAATTAACTTTTAAAGATAACATTGAGGGCATTCAAGCCAAATGTAACAAATATATTAAATGTTTGTATCCTCTTATTAACAGGAAATCCAAACTTTGCCTCACGAATAAACTTCTAATATTTAAACAAGTTTTTAGACCGGCCATGCTTTACGCTGTGCCAATATGGTCTAGTTGCTGCACTACCAGGAAAAAAGCACTTCAAAGGATTCAGAACAAAATTCTGAAAATGATTTTGAAGTTGCCTCCCTGGTACAGTACTACCGAAGTACATAGAATTTCGAATGTTGAGACTTTAGCACAAATGTCCAACAAAATAATTAATAATTTCAGGCAAAAATCGTTGCAATCCTCAATTGCAACGATTAATTCCCTTTATACTTAGATAAGATTTAGTTTTACTTATTTAGTTTTAAGCTATCAATTGTTATACTGACATGCAGGTTTAAAAAACCTGTTTAAAATACTGAATTGCCAAGACAGGAACAATGTAAAAACACTTAGATATATATCATAACAATTAAGGCTGGTAAGTTACTGTAGTAACTGGAGCACCTAGGTTAAAAATGAAATGTAATTTATTTTGAATTTGGAACAAATAAAGAGTTAAAAAAAAAGAGCAATTCCACGCCAAATGGCGAATCGAAAAAACTCGACCATCTCCGATTTGCATAAAATTGTTTGTTATGGGCAATGCTTCACATTTTTGCTAAAATTCGATTATTTTGGATCTTGTAATTTAAAAAAAAATGTAGCACCGAACCGGCACTTCTGATCGAAATGACGTTTGAGTCAACGTTGTAGAGAAAAATAATGTTTTTCTAGACAAAATATACAAAACAAAAATTCCGTCTCTCGTACATGTTTCCATAGGGGCTATTTAGGAACGGCAATGCCATCTGCGTAGACAATTCTCGCGTAACTTTTCAAAAGATCCTAAGTAACAAATGTAAACAAATCGAACTAATCGATACCATATTTACTTTCATTAATTTAAGATAATCGTAGGTAAAAAAATATCCAATGTACAGTTTGGGGTACGTGATTGTTACTTCCGACATTTGGACTGCCTAACATGATTGGTGCTCATTTTCTAAAAACGGGGCATGGCTAGGTTAGGTACTCTATTCTGAAATCTGTGAAAGGGAATCTAGTGCCATGAAGAACAAAACGTCCAAGGTAACACTCGTTGATTATGTCATTGAGAAAAATCGTCCAATGTAACATGTCCGATGTACATCTTGACAAGTCAAAACGTCCTATGTGATTTTTTTATATATTGTAGCTGACTACCGTAAAAATAGTATTGCAAAATTTATTGTTTCCCAATAGTTAACATAATCATCTGTCGAACTTAAACTTCGATTTCTTCAAAATGGTGGATATGTTACATTGGTCTATTTTAAAAAGTGACGCGAGAATTGTCCATATATTTTTTTGAACATGTATATGAACCGCACAACCGCCAAATTTGGATACTAATGCAACTTTCTCCTCTTCTCTTTTGCCTTTCGCCTGCAGGATTCCCTAAGAAAAAAGCAGCAACCGCCAGTGAGTAGTACGCCAGTCACTTCCAGTGCGCCTCCGCCGCCTCCGTCTGGTGGCCTCTCGAGTGCTGCTACCTCCATCAACCTCGGCACCGTTGTCACATCGCAGATCTACACCAGCACAGCAGCAGCCGCCTCCACAGCCTCCGTCTCCGCCAGCGCCACCTCAATCTCACCAGTCACAGTGACAAACACCGCACAGCCCACAGTCCACAGTGCGATCTTTAGTTCCGAAATCAAGGATGTAAGTATTGCTAGATTATGTAGAATGAATGAATGATCCCTTTGTTGACGGGTTGGTTGCGATTTAGATGGAAGAATGTGGCGAAAATTTTGAAGATGAATGGGAAGATTTTGAAGAAAACGCATCGGACTTGGGTGAAAGTAGTGGTTCTGGGCAGTATGAATCAGACGAAGAATGTGAAGAAGCGAACAGTTCGAGGAAAAGAGTAATGATTTGGGGAAAAAATCCTACAGCATTTAACAATACCCTATTCGTTGAATTTGCAGAAAATCGACGATGAAAGTGAAGCGAGCTGCAGTGGATCTAGTAATAACTCCGCCGATGGTGACGACAAGGACGGCGACAAAGACAGTAAGAAGAAGAAGAACAGATGCGCAACTTGCCGCAAGAAAGTTGGACTGACTGGTAAGAATTTAGAAGGGGGGGAGTGGGGGCTATCGATTTTGGATGTTTGAGCTGACGTGGACTTTTCTTTCTTTTACCAAAAAAACACGCAGGCTTCGAATGCAGATGTGGTGGCCTCTACTGCGCGATACATCGATACAGTGATAAGCACGAATGCTCGTTCGACTATCGGGAACTGGGTGCGGCGGAAATTAGACGTAATAATCCTGTCGTGGTCGGAGAGAAAATTCAAAAAATTTGAACACTCGTGCCATCTAATATCTATTAATATACATATACATATAATTCAATTTAATCTTAATGAAATATAAATATAAAATAATTAAAAAGGAGAAAAAGAAAGAAAAGAAAGCAAGGTTTAAACAAAACACAAACACACACACAGCTACAGCAAACATACAAAAACACAGCAGCGGAAGCGAATGAAAAAAATCCTTATACATATTGCTACAATAATAAATGCAAGGAAATGTAAAGTTGATGCTAGTAGTTACATTTCGTAAATTTAAAGTAAATTGGACAACGCTGAAAATAGTATATAATTTCAAGGCACACAGACACACTCACTCATCCAAACAATTCAGTCAGACAAATAATCGCAACACACATGCGACGCGCATACACCAAGGGGTTTATTAGCGAAACATTAGCTCACGCATACACAGAACAAAAAGATTACTCCAAACAGCATAGAAACAGTTTGCCAATTAATTTTGTAAAGTTTGTTCGCTTGTAAATTAGTTTTGCCTCACACAATCATATGTACTACCTTAAACTACTACCTTACCTACCTACTAATGCGAAAAACTAGTAACCGGAACTGAGAACAACTGGAGTGTGTGTGTTGGGTGAGCCATTGTTTTTCGGTGATTCTGTGATTTACTGCTGCACAACTTGGTGTGGTGTGTCTCTGTGCGTGTGTGCTCGTGTGTGTGTGTGTGTATGTGTGTCCTGTCCGTGTGCAGCGTTTGCGACACGAAATGATTCGGGAAAAGAACCTACTATCGCTACTATTACTACTGCTGCGACAGTCTATGTAGATATACACACTAGGACTATGTTGTTTTCACAATGCCCTCTCCTCTGTTTCTGTTTTTGAGAATTTGTGCTTCTTGTTTTTTTTTCCCACTCAATTTGCCTTTTGTAAAATGTATATAAATCCCTTTGAAATTGTTTTTTTTTAATTCAACAAACAAGAAATAACACACAACCACACACACTCTGTCGATTAGGATGATAATGGATAGTACGGACATGCGCTATTACCCATTTCTACCTAAAAGAAAGAAGCAAGCAAAAGAAACGTGTTTAGAAAGTATGTACTATTCGGCTAGGTAAGGACTATCTGCGGAAAGTGGTGAATAAGGAGCTAAAAAACAACGTGTGTGAATGAATATATAATGATTATAATAAATAGGTAGAAATCGAGCGAAATAAAAACAGAAAATAAAGAAACAAAAGTGTAATCCAGTCAGAGAGCAGAACAGTTTGAAAAAATAAAAACTGAAAACTAAAGAAGGGGAAGTAAAAAAAAAACGCAGAAGAAGGAAAAGAAAGTATATTTTAGTAACAAAACAAAGGAAAAAAAATCAAACAAAAAAAAAGCGAAAAAAAAATCAACTATAAAAGTAGAACGGAAACCAGGCAGTGCGAAAAAATACTTTCAATTTGTGTATAAAGATTAGCAAGAAGGAAGCAGAAGTTTATGATTGAAAAATGATATTTTTTCTTTTATGTTTAGTTTTATTTTGTGCCCTTGATAAGTACTAGAACAGCGCAACTACAATGGATTGGATTTTTTTTTTCATTAAGAGACAACAACTATAGAGAAATAACATTGTGTATTCTGCAGCATTATTTGAAAAAAAAAAAATGTGTTTTTCTTTCTGTTTCGCGTTGCAAAATTGTCGTGTGCTACCACCCAAGGTGAAATATCCCTCAGTCACAAACGCACTCAATTATTGTTATTCTATTATTTTGTTTTTTTTGCTTAAGTAGTTGAATCGGGAGGAAAAGTACAATCATGTCCTGATAGTTTGCAGTCATCCGTTCACGTTGCTCGGAAATATTTGGTCGGGGCGACGACGATAGGTGGGCAGTTTCGGGGCTCTATGTTTTGTCAAAGGTTGTTGGCGTTGGAAATTTGAGGTTTGAAATTGAAATGGGAACGGGAATGCGTATTAATGAAATCTGCCAATTTCCCTCAATGATTCGGTGAAATGGCCCATTATGTTGACGTTAGTAGTCACGTTCTGTTGTTTTGCACGAATCGATTCAGCTGTGATAGGTTCTAAACAAGTATCTTTAATTATCGAAAATTAAATGTCGCTCATATACTAATCTTTCATTTAAGATTATATTGTTCAAGCTGCCCCATTTGACCTGCCATTTGCTGCTTCTGCTGATCATGAAAATACAAAAAAAAAGAAGCACATGGCCAAACTAAGAGGAACCTCTCAAGTAGAGTGCCTATAAAAGTGACGTCATGTCAGCCATTTGACAGGTCTTCTGATCAATTGGAATGATAATCGGTTGTTCGAATTCCGACCTACTTATGGGCACTGTACTCATAAATGGAGTAGGACCTCTGGGAAGTCCCGTAACGCAGGTAGATCGCCCTAAGATGGCGCGTTACGGCGTAAGATCTACCTAACACGGGTTCTTTTGATGATCCCGGTTTATGAAGGATTTCAGAAGGGACATTTTGGAAACCGGGAGAGTTACGAGCTTCCGGTCGGAGCATTGAACGAAATGGGATACATTCAGAATTTCTTAGTTAGAATGCTCCCAACGCTAACTTACTACAGAAGCCTCCAATTTAGAATTTATAAATAAATCGTTTCAAAAGGCGTCAAAGTCGTCCTAAATGGCCTGTGTATTTTTTCCTAAAACATCCCAGAGACATCTGAAACTGTCCAGCAGTCATTCAATCTACTAGTTCAACTTTTGTGCTTCTAATCATCGGCTGATACTTTGAATGTCTACCGTCATTACGATCACCAGCCAAATACTTCGTGTCCCTTATATGCACCCGTTGTATAATTAGTAATACACTCTGTATTTAATGGGAGTTGTGGGATCAAGTCAGACTTCTATGTTATACTCACCATGTTTGTATTCTTTCCTTAAAAACTTGTAACATAGACGGCCTTACTACGGTGATACCGGTGAATACGAAGTTAGGTGAAAACTTTTCACTCACGGTGAAGTGATTTCCATTTGATTTGCGCGGGAATCACTTCACCGTGAATGACAACTTGTCACTTCACTTCGTATTTACCGTGAAGTGACACCCGTAATAAGGGCCAGAAGCTTTTGGCCTTGTTTCTAGAACGCCTTTTAGGGCCTTATTACGGGTGTCACTACACGGTGATAAGGAATCAAATGGGAATCACTTCACCGTGATGACAAGTGACAAGTTTTCACCGTGAAGTGACATCCGTAATAAGTCCCTTAATCTATCTAAATAAAGGATTCAGGGCTGTGGACCTCTGAAATTGTTTCCCACAAGTCCTAGAAACGTGTTCTTCAAGTCATCTGAGATTGTTCCTTTGTACTTTTCTCATAGAGCCTCAGCACTTGCCTCTCAAAGCAAATGGATTTGCTCCAAAAGGCCTCTTCACTTGTTCCACAAGGTCACTGGACTTGCACTAAAAAAAGGCTTTGTACTTCTCCAACAAATCCTTCAACATCTTTGAAGTTGTTCCACAAAACTTCTGAACTTTTTTCATAAGGCTCCTGAACTTGCACCATACAGTTCTGCAAGTCATTTGAACTTTGGGCAGGACGCTCCAGGACTTATTTGACAAGACCTTTGGATTTGCCCTGCATAATAATCGAATGTTAAAACCTCCTTAATAAAGAAAACCTAACCTAACCTAACCATCGAATGTATGTCAAAAGGCCTATAGATTTTTCTCTAAAAAAAAACCTCTGTAGAACTTCCACAAGGTCCCTGAACATGATCCACAAGATCTCTGGATTTATCTTAAAAGTACTTTCCCCAATAAGTCCTTAAAACATGTCCCAGAAGACCTTGGAAGATCTTCCACGAAGTCTCTGGATCTGCCTCAATAGGCAACAAAGCTTACCTTATAAGAAGTTTTGATTGGCCCTAAAACGCCTATGGGCCTTATTATGAGTGTCACTTCACGGTATTCTTTTCCCACCAGTTCCAGGAGATCTCTGAAGTTCTTCCACAAGATGTCTGGATTTGTCAAAGATAACCATTAGAATCCATCTCACAACGCCATTCATTTCGGAAAACATTTAGATTTGTTCTGCGAAATCATTGAAAATGTGCCAAAAGACCTCTACATTTAACCCACATTAAAGATAGTGCACAAGGTGTCCGAAAAGGCCTTCAGAATTGGTTTGAATTTATGCTAAAAGTCCTCTATACTTTTCCCATAAGGCTTTCAAGACTGCTAAAGTTCACTCCAAATGCGTCGGAACTTGTTCCAAAAAGTATTTAGATTTGTCTGAAAAGGCTTTAGGATTTGTGTCACGAAATACCTCTGAACTTGTTCCATGTTCCACAAGGTTTTTGAAGTGGCCGCAAAACATCTCTGGTTTTGTCTCGTAAGGCCTCTGGATTTGTTATACAAGACCTCTGAACTAGTCACACATGGTCGTTCGACTTGTCTCACAATTTCTCTAGATTGGTCTCAAAAGGCTGCAGGATTTATTTAAAGGGCTTCCAAATTTGCCTTAAAATGCTTCAGGTTTTGTCTCAAAACGTTTCAGGATTTGTCCCGAACAACTTCTGGATTTGTTCTACAAGACCTTTGACCTTTGAAGCTGCCGCACAATGCCTCAGGACTTTTCACACAAGGCCGCATGATAACATAAAGATTTCTAGACTTGTGCTACGAATTCTCTGAATTTGTCTCAAAAGGCTGCAGGACTGTTCCAAAAAACCGCTGGGCTTGTCCCACCAGGCCCCTGGGCTTGACCCACAGGGGCTCTGGTTTTGTCCAAACAAGGCCCTGGGCTTGTCCAACGAAGGCCTCTGGGCTTGTCCAAACAAGGCCGCTGGGCTTGTCCCACAAGACCTCTGGGTTTGTCCCACAAGGCCTCTGGGCTTGTCCCACAAGGCTACTGGGCTTTTCCCACAAGGCCTCTGGGCCTGTCCCACAAGGCTACTGGGCTAGTCCCACAAGGCTTCTGAAATTGTCCCACAAGGTCTCTGGGCTTGTCCCACAAGGTCTCTGGGCTTGTCCCACAAGGTCTCTGGGTTTGTCCAAACAAGGCCTCTGGGCTTGTCTAAACAAGGCCTCTGGGCTTGTCTAAACAAGGCCTCTGGGCTTGTCCCACAAGGCCTTGGGCTTGTCCCACAATGCCTGGGAGCTTATCTAAACAAGGCCTCTGGCCTTGTCTATACAAGGCCTCTTGGCTTGTCCCACAAGGCCTCTGGGCTTGTCCAAACAAGGCCTCTGGGCTTATCCCACAAGGTCTCTGGGCTTGTCTCACAAGGCCTCTGGGCTTGTCCCACAAGTCCTCTAGGTTTGTCCAAACAAGGCCTCTGGGCTTGTCCAAACAAAGCCTCTGGGTTTGTTCAAACAAGGCCTCTGGGCTTATCCCACAAGGCATCTTTGCTTGTCGTCCCATAAGGCCTCTGGGCTTGCCCCACAAAGCCTCTGGCCTTGTCCCACAAGGCATCTGGGCTTATCCCACAAGGCCTCTGGGCTTGTCCCACAAGGCCTCTGGGCTTGTCCCACAAGGCCTGGGAGCTTATCCAAACAAGGCCGCTGGGTTTGTCCCACAAGGCTTCTGGGTTTGTCCCACAAGGCCTCTGGGCTTGTCATACAAGGCCTCTGGGCTTGTCCCACAAGGCCTCTGGGCTTGTTCCACAAGGCCTCTGGACTTGTCCTACAAGACCTCTGGGCTTGTCCCACAAGGCTACTGGGCTAGTCCCACAAGGCCTCTGGGCTAGTCCCACAAGGCTTCTGAAATTGTCCCACAAGGTGTCTGGGCTTGTCCCACAAGGTCTCTGGGTTTGTCCAAACAAGGCCTCTGGGCTTGTCTAAACAAGGCCTCTGGGCTTGTCTAAACAAGGCCTCTGGACTTGTCCCACAAGGCCTCTGGGCTTGTCCCACAAGGCCTCTGGGCTTGTCCCACAAGGCTACTGGGCTAGTCCCACAAGGCTTCTGAAATTGTCCCACAAGGCCTCTGGGCTTGTCCAAACAAGGCCTCTGGATTTGTCCCACAAGGCCTCTGGGCTTGTCCAAACAAGGCCTCTGGGCTTATCCCACAAGGCCTCTGTATTTGTCCAAACAAGGCCTCTGGATTTGTCCCACAAGGCCTCTGGGTTTGTCCAAACAAGGCCTCTGGGCTTGTCTAAACAAAGCCTCTGGGTTTGTTCAAACAAGGCCTCTGGGCTTGTCCCACAATGCATTTGGGCTTGTCGTCCCATAAGGCCTCTGGGTTTGCCCCACAAAACCTCTGGGCTTGTCCCACAAGGCCTCTGGGCTTATCCCACAAGGCCCCTGGGTTTGTCAAAACAACGCCTCTGGGCTTGTCCCACAAGGCCTCTGGGCTTGTCCAAACAAGTCATCTGGTCTTGTCCAAACACAAGGCCTCTGGGCTTGTTCAAAAAAGGTCTCTGGGAGTTCTTTGAATGTGTTCCAAACGTGTTCTGTACCTTTCTCAGGTTTCCTCTAACCTTGTAGAATACTTAGTCTGTATGGCCGCTAGATTTGTCCCTACAGCACCTCTCGTTAAATATCCGTACTACCCTCACAAGTACTTCAACAATTCCTCTGAAGCATTACCACAAGGCCTCTGAACTTCTTCCAGAAGGCCTTTTAACTTACAAAGCTTATGAGCTCGTACTAGACGGTCTCTTGATTTGCCTCATAAGAACTATGGATCCACACGATCTTAAGATTTCCCCTGCAACCTTTGAATGCGTGCCAAAAGGCCTTTGTACTTGATCCATAGTTTATTCAAACTTGTTCTAAACGGTCGCTGCGCTTGTTCCACAAAGTTTCTGAAAATGTCTCATAAGGTTTCAGGACTTGTATCTTAAGACATCTATCCCCCTATTCTGCGAGTCACGTGACTCTCTGTCACCTTGTGTGAGGTGCCTCTCCATTTGATTTGCACAGAGAGTCACCTCACCGATGAAAGAGAGTCACGTGACTCGCAGAATAAGGAGGCTAGATTTGTCCCAAACAGCCTATGTACTTTTCCACAAGTTCTTTAAATTTGTTCGACTAGGTCCCAGAACTTGTTCAACAAGGTATCTGGATTGAGCACACTACTTACTTAAGTATCCTGGGCCCCTTTAGTAGAGCAATGGGCCAACCTTTTAACCCGCTAAACTTTTGGATATCGCTCGGAAGGCAGTGCTGATTTTACTCGGCAGTGGTACAACGACCTCTTGCGGGACAAAAGGTCTCTGTATCACTTCCAGAATTCTCTTAAACTTGCTCCCCTGAATTCGTCCCAGATCGCTTACTGAGTTAGTTTCAGCGCGGCCGTGTATAAAACAAGAATCCGTCCCGAAAGGGAAGTGAAGCCATCCATCTTGGCCTTGGCATAACGAGCAATGGCAACACGTTCCTTGTTGTGGACGGGAGATTTGTTTCCCTTGCAGGTGCAATCGATTAAGTCCAACCTCAAATTACCATGGTCCACTAGCGGTGCACATGTTCCAGGAAGTTTGTTGGAGATGTTACGTAACTACTTTCATTCGTAAACAAACGGCGGTATCTGTTCAAATCTATGCTATTTTCTGTCGGACAAACCTTCAATAATTTCCTAACAATATTTAAGAACGTTTTGCAGGTTTGACTCAGAGTTCTGGAGGCCTACAGTGCCTATATTTGCATGACAATCCAATATCCTGTGGAATCCCTATTAGCATGGGACTGTTATGCGATTAGCGACAGTACAGGCTTATAAGAATCGATTGACTGAAATCGATCACAGACAAACAGATTTAACATGTCGGTGATTGTTTTGGCTTGCAAATCAATCGCCAGCCGCAGTGGTTCTATGCATTATTCACCTATAATCTTATTTTCGTTCGAACTCTTTTTTTGTATGGAAAATACGGTTCGAACGAAAACGAGAATATGGGTGATTATCTGACAGTTGCAAGCAAGTTTGTCACAATGGCTCGCTCGCTGAACATGTTGCACACAGAAAAATATGCACGTTTGGATTTAATGATCCTAATACCAATAATAGCAATGTAGTTTGATAATTATTTCATTGTTTAAAGGAACCATCTGGAAGCTTCCATGTAAATTAAAGTTTAATCGGCAAACTTCACGTAAAAACAAAGTGTAGATTTTTCTGAGTGTATCAAGCACAGCTGAACAAAAAATCAGGTTAGAAAGACCGGCCCGTCCAACGCAAAATCCTCTGTGTAATTAATTTAAAAAAATCCAAAGAGAGTAACAGGAGAAGACAAACAGGAAATTCAAGTGCAATCAACTTAGCATTTTTTTTTAATTTTCTGTACCATTGATCTTCTCTGAGACTCTTCTTTCTGCTGAAATGTCTCTACCGAAGAACTTTGAACGAGCTGCCCACTCGCTTTGTCGCAACATCATCTTCTCACATTGTACGTTTCTTCTGACGCAAAAAATCAACTCATCTTCCCCCTCTCAAGAGCAATTCCTTTTAGCGAAATAAATGGCTTAGTGATAAATGTCAGCTATATAGCCTAGCAATATTTAGACAGCTGCGCGTGGTGTTTATTGTTTTTATCCACACTTGTTTCACCCTACGTTCTTCCGTATAGGTATTTGTGGCTGTTTTTCCCATTTTCAAACTTTCGTTAATTTGTTTCCAGTTCGTTTTACATTTTAGCTCACCGACTTAGATCAAGTGTTGTAAAGTTTTAACTACTTTTTCCTGTTCTCCTATTCCTGTGGGATTTGTGTATAGTTGCCAACTAAATCTGCTTTATTTTATATATAGAGAGAGAGAGCGAACGGAAACACCCATTCACCCAAAATTGCATCGACTACCATCTGTAATTAGTACTCACAAACACACATTTACACCAAAACACACAAACACACGCACGCCTCTTCTTTCGCACTGTGCGCACACTCTGGTGGTGCACATTTCCAAACGAAAGAAGTAAAGTGAATGATACTTGTAATTAAACAAAACGACATACAAACACACACACACACACACACACACACACACACACACACACAAACATGCAATTCGTCTGAAGAAATAGTTTTCTCTTGTTTGATTTTAGTTAGCTTTAAATTTCTGGATGTGGAGTTTATTCTAATTGATTGATGATAAATCTATTATTACGCCCCCTTCCTCTTAAGATCAAACCCGAGAAACGGATTAGAAAGAGATAGAGAGAGGAGTAAAACTTGCAATGAATTCAATTTGATAACGTTTTATTACAAATTTAAGCAGAACAAAAAAAATAATGCATCAGCGCAGAAAACACAATTCTATTAAAAGAAAAAAAAAAAACAAACTAGATTTGCTAAAAAAAACTACTATGTGTATAAAGAGGAAAGTGAAGAAATTTGAAAATCTAAACCAACTCAGACACTTGTGTGCAGACACAGGCACCAAGAACTCTAGAGCGACAGAGGTAAACATGCTGCAAAAAAAAGAAAGCTATTAACACTTGTAGTAGACCTTTGCGTTTTTATCGCAAAACCTGCGAAACCTACACACGCAACACAGTAAATATGGAAATCGAACTGAATAAAAAATAGGAAACAAAAACAAAACCATATTTATTTATTTTTTTTCCGTTTCCGTCTACTCGGTCGCCAACCAACACTAAACGAATAGAAGAAAAAGAAATACAACAATGCAACAGAAAATCGCGAATGTAAAAATCGGAACACAGAAAAAAGGGAGAAACTGACAAAAAAAAATCAACTTATAAATATAATTTCCGTTCGATTTATTGTTTTTAAATCAATTGAATTAATTCAAGTAAAAAATATACCCATACAATATATAAATCTGAGCGTGTCGTCCCCCGATTGGATTGGTCTGGAACGTATTCGAAAGATCCTAGTACTCACATTCTTGTCGAAGTGCTTGATTTCTCTGTTGAGGTTCCAGCATCATGATGAGCCCCTTTTGTCTGCCTCTGCTGCGAAGTCCTGTTTGTAGATTTAGTTTCTGCAATTTCGCTGTGACTTGTAATCGACAATTGTGCTCAGCCTTCGAGATACAGTTGTGAGGCCACCGCAGACAACAACCTCGACAACAACGGTTTATGAAGACATGCAACTTTTCAGTGTTCTCCGCTCATACAAACCACGTCTCTCTGGACGAACTGAAAGAAAAAAACCTCCCGAACTGCCCACTGAAATGAAGCTATAGCTTCATCAAACTTCCGGTGGAAGCCTTGAACCCAAGGGGTAAGTCACTCGAAATTAGATTCGACACAGCTTAGGCTCATCCATCGGCACCATTTCGTAGGCATTGGATTGTTGTAAATAAAATGGGAGCACGGCTGGACAACTGTCATTGAAGTTGTTCACAACATTACCTGGTGTTTGATTCGAGGGGGAAGACAGTGAGAAATTAAGAGCAATCCAGAGTAACTCTGAGGAATTCTTTTGCTCTCTGTTGCGGCCCAGAACTTATAGTACTAACACTAAATTACGAGCAAATTATACATACAAAATGAATTATAAATTAACTTAAAAATACCCACCACCCAGAACACCGCTTCTACACTTCTACATCTTATAAATCCCAAATGGATTACCCTTCACCTCACACTGAACACGACAAATAAATCAGTTACCTAAGAACTACAAAGCAACACAGACCAGTTTCTGCACTCTCGTCCGAAAACTATCTCGGTTCGTGCCAGTGATTGAAACCACAATTTCGCCGTCGTTCACAAGTTCGCCTTTGTCGTCGTGCCGGCCAGATTCCGGCATTCAAGCAAGAACATTTGGTGCCGAAACCCGGGAACACATCCCGGACAGTGATTGCGTTCCAACGGAACAATCAATTCGTCGCGAAAATTTATAACCATTCGAACCGTCCCGCGTGTGCTTTCACTGCGTGTATCTGCCCAGTACAATAGAAGCTACCGTTTAGTGATTGTTTCTCCTCACGCTGAGGTTCTACATTGTTAGTGCGACTATTGTGAGGAAGATTGCCACGCCGCTCCCGCAAAGAGTGTTGTGCTGTTGGAGATAATTAATTACCGGTTGCTGCTGTCGCTGTTTTGGACTGCATAGGATTTGGACCGCCCCAGAGTGCCGTCGTCAAAGTACCCGTTCGGCCAAACATCGTCGCAGTATCGCCGAGAAGATTTCCTCCAACAAGTCCACGTCGTAACAATCGAAAGGTTAAGTACGGTCGAAGCAGGTGAGTGACCTCTTTTTTTGTTGAGGCAGAATGGCTACCGCCACGCAGAGCAAGAAAGCCAAGCAGTTGAAACAACTGGTTGCCAAGCGGGGCGAATTTGACCAAAATTATGATGTTTCGCAAGCAGCCGAGATTCCATTTCGGCTTGATCGTTTGAACAAGTTATGGGATGAGCTGGAACACGTTGATATGGAGCTTGAAGTACTTTGCGGTGAAGACCCTGGCGCCACTGAAACTCGTGCCGAGTTTCAGAACTTGTACTATCGATTGAAGAGTTCACTTACGAGAAAGCTTCCAGTTCCTACCCAAACCAATCCGCCTGCTCCCGTACAACATTTATGCTCCCTTCCTCTGGTGTGCGCCTCCCAGAGCTAAAAATCCCAGAATTTGATGGGAACCCTGAAGATTGGTCTGGCTTTCATGACTTGTTTAAATCCATGATCCATGACAACTACCAATTAACAAACATTCAGAAGCTACATTATCTTCGAGCTTCGTTGAAAGGGGATGCTGCTCGTATCATCTCTTCTCTTGCCGTTTCTACGTACAGCTACACTGTTGCGTGGAAGTTGATAACGGATCGTTACGAGGACAAGAATTTGTTGATCAAGCAACACATCTCTGCGCTTTTTTCGGTTTCTCCGCTGCGGAATGGGTCCGCTTCTGGCCTTTCTGAACTGGCAGATGAATTCGAGAAACACGTGAAAATCTTGGACTCTCTAGAAACCAAGGCGCAGCATTGGGATTCTGTGTTGGTGGAGCTCCTTTTCAGTCGTATGGATGCCACCTCACAGAAACAGTGGGAAAATAACCGTGACAAAACCCAGCGTCCTTCGTACGACGATCTCATAAAGTTTATCCATGATCACTCACGCACACTGCAGTCCCTCAAGCTCTCCCAATTAGTTTGTACACCGTCGATGGAGGCCAAGCCTACGAAGTCACGACATTCGGCCACAGAACAAACTCCTAAATGCACTGCGTGCAAACAAGCGCATTTTCTGTTCCAATGCGAGGTCTTTCGTGATCAAACTCCGCATCAACGTTTCGATTTAGTTAAACGGAACAACCTATGCATCAATTGCATCAAAGCATCCCACCAAGCAAGAAACTGTACCAGTGGGTGCTGCAAGTATTGCCAAAAGAAGCACCACATTTTGCTTCATCTCCCGTCGTCCGCCTTCTTGATGACGGGTGGAGCTCCACCACACAGTCAACACACTGAATTCCCAATGCATGAAACAAATCCCAATCTGTCGCATTCTCCTCCGGTTCCGTTCAATAGTGGCCCGGATGTCACTTCGGTTAATCGTGCCTACCCGCTCTCGTCGCCGTCGGTATTTGCACCTCGCCTGCCCCCGTCGGAAATAGTCACACCTCCTTTCACCGCCTGTCAAACCGTCGCACCAGCAAATGTTGGTGAAAATACAGTGATGTTGTACACCGCACTAGTGAATATCCACGATAACCTCGGGCACAGTCAAATCGCTCGTGCACTACTAGACAGCGGCTCGCAGTCAAGCTTCGTTTCCGAGTCGTTGTGCCAACGTTTATCGCTCAACCGAGTGAATATCAACATGCCTGTAAGCGGCATTGGGCAAGCAATTGTCAACGTACGTTACGTAGTCTCGGTGAGCCTCATCCCGATTTGGGTCACAACAATTCCCATTGCATTGCCTGGTGTTGCCGAAACTAACGGTGAACCTTCCAACGAAGACGGTGGATATTAACACGTGGAAAATTCCAAAGCATCTACCGTTAGCAGACCCACATTTCTATCAAAGCCACGGTATCGATTTAATTATCGGTGCCGAGCTTATCCCGAGCAGATTCCGTTCGATGACCAGCTGCCACCACTCCAGAAGACAAGCTTCGGATACGTATTCTCGGGAAAGGTTCCCGCTTCGATGACCACTCCGCTTACCTGCTTGGTCTCCGCTTTCGACAACCTGGACGCACAGGTGAAAAGGTTCTGGGAAGTGGAAAACTTTGATGTCGGAAAATGCCTGACTGCCGAAGAACAACAGTGTGAAGCCCACTTCGCATCTAGACACAGTCGCAATACCGACGGTCGTTATGTAGTGCGTCTACCAGTTAGGCAAGAACTTCTACCGTCTATTGGAGACACGTGGAACATAGCAGCTCGTCGATTTTCGGCCCTTGAAAGACGGTTCCGCTCCGATGAAACACTATACAAGAGCTACACCGATTTCATGGAGGAGTACGAACGGTTAGGCCACATGGAGGAAGTGAAGACTCGCGTCGCGTTACCCCAGTATTTCCTGCCCCATCACGCAGTCCATCGTCCCGACTCGTCAACAACCAAAATAAGAGTCGTGTTCGACGGCTCGGCTAAAAGCAGCAAACAGCTCTCCTTGAACGATCTTCTTCTCACAGGACCAACAGTTCAGCCTTCCATGTTGTGCATCGTTGTCAACTCTCGTTTCCACCGATTCGTCATGAAAGCAGACGTGGAGAAAATGTTTCGACAGGCTTTGGTTCATCCGGACGATCGCCTACTACAGCAAGTTGCGTGGCGCCGAAATGAATCAGAGCCACTGAAAACCTATTCCTTGAACACTGTCACCTACGGCACATCTTGTGCTCCGTATCTAGCAACCAGAGTCCTAAACCAGCTGGCGGACGATGAAAGGCATGACTTTCCACTTGCTGCCCCCATTGTCAAGAAAGATTTTTATGTAGACGATGTTTTAACTGGAGCCGAGATCATCGGAACTAGTTGAAACCAGCATACAGCTGACCGAATTACTAAAGCGAGGTGGTTTCAATCTGCGGAAGTGGAGCGCGAATCACCCCAGTATTCTGGAACATTTTCCAGAGGAACTAAAGGAGCATCAGTTGACGCTAGAACTCGACCGATCTGCATCGATCAAGGCACTGGGCGTACTATGGTTTACAAAGGAGGACGTATTTGAATTCAAGGTCCCTGATTTTCCAGCCCTGCCACACGTTACGAAGCGCCTCGTACTATCAGAGATGTCGCAGTTATTTGACCCCTTGGGTCTGGTCGGTCCAGTGGTGGCAAGTGCGAAGATGTTTGTGCAGCGAATGTGGCAGGAGAAACTTAGCTGGGACGAAAAGCTACCGGACGTTCTGCAATCATGGTGGCTATCCATCCGAGCAGCAATTGGTATCGTTCGGAATCTTCGAGTCCCTCGGTGGGTGTTCGAAGAGAGTGCAAAGAGCTACGAGTTGCACTGTTTTGTCGACGCTTCTTCCAAAGGGTATGGGGCGTGCATCTACACAGTATCAACAGGACCTTCCACTAAACGAACAAGCCATTTGCTCATAGCAAAATCACGTGTTGCTCCAGTATGTGGTTATTCCATCCCACGGTTGGAACTCTGTGCAGCCGTACTGGGAAGCCAGTTGGCTGATACCATTCGTAGAACAACCAAGTTTGACTCTACGGTCACGTTCTGGTCAGATTCATCGATCGTTTTGCACTGGATTAATTCACCACCATCGTCCTGGAAGATATTCGTGCCCAACCGAGTATCGGAGGTCCAGAAACTAACCCAAGGATCCCAGTGGCGGCACGTTCCAACCCTAGAAAATCCCGCCGATCGTATATCTCGCGGGGTACAACCAGATGATATCAAAAACG